CTTAGGTAAGTAAATTATAAGGTAACATTTATTATTGTCTCAAACTTACTTGCGGCATTAACATGTCTCGCACAATTGATAAAATAACTTAAGTAATACAAGTTAGTTAAGACTATTCAAATTATAAGTAATATAGAGTTATTAGAATATTATTAACTATATTTAAAATAACTTAAATCTACATATAGTAATAAGATTAGGATTTTTTTTTTTTTTTTTTTTTTATTTGGAGACTATTACTGTGCCATTTAGGCAAATACTCATAGCTTCCAGAGAACACAAACGTGCAATGGCATACCACAATAAACTCTTTCGGTAGTAATCACCCCTGACATCACATTGCTACTAGACTCTGCGAAAAGTCCAATAACTTATATGAACATCTAAACCAATATTATATGCAAACGGAACACAAGAGGAGAGAGTTGTGTGTAATAAGATTAGGATAATTACAACAATGCAGATCAATAACACCTTCAAAAATAAATCTATCGAATCCTGTAGTATCCCTCTAATACACTATTTACAAAAACTATAAACTTAAAATTTAGCGATTATTAAACAACTATTCATATACACCATCTTTTTAGATCAATACTCATAAATGGCAATAAATACTTATTATTATTATTTCAAATATCAATCTATAGAGCAAAATTTATAATTATTTAAATTTTTCCACTACATTTTAGTTAGTTTGATAGTGTTGCCTCTACTACCAATTATTATTATATATATATATATATATATATATATATTGCTCATATTATATATTATTCAACATAAGGTCTACACAAAAGGAGTGCAAATCAATATCTACATCTACTGCTATATTAAAAAGGAGTGTGAATCATTATTCTTTCTAGTATCAGGATATTTAAGTGCATCCTATGAATTGACCCAAAAAAAAAAAAGAGCATAAAGAAAATAAAAAAAAATCATAAGTTCACTTCAATCCTATGACATAACTTCACTTGAGGAGCTATACCTTAGCTTTAACTAAAAAAAATTCATCAACTTCAACATAATATTTTCTACATAAAAAAATAATAAGTTTTATTATAACAAAATTTCAAGAACTCAACATACAATATTTCTTTAACAAATATATTATAAAATTTATAACAAAAACACTATAATTTTAACATTAAAACATTAATAATAATTAAAAAAACTCACATTGGCTTCTGAAATCTCAGATCGGAGGGCTTGAAGAAATGTTTGTGAGTTGCATTTCTTTCAAGGCAGCTTGCTGTATTTATAACCAAGTCTCCATCCTCAGCACTCACCCTCCAACCACCCGAATTAAACGTATGCCACTGATTTTCACGCCATCCCGCGGATAAACAAGATCTTGTCCGTGCTACAGACAATAAAAGCCGGAAAAATGAGCTGCCAAAATGAACTGGCAGCCAGTGGATTGCCTGAATGCGCCGTGTAATTTAACGCATTTTATATAATGCGCCAAATAGTTTGACACATTCTATAGAATGCGCCAAGTAGTCTGGCGCATTCAAAGAATGCACCAATTTGTTCGGCGGAGACTTTCAATGCGCCGCAACAAATGGCAAATATACTCATTTTTAATTTTTTATAAAAATCAGCACATTCCGCTAAATGTAACTTTAAGCATGCTCGTTTCCAAAATTTGACATTTTATTTCTCTATTTCTTCAATTTATCTTTCTCCTATGACTTTCTCTCTTCTACAACTTTTTTAATATTTTCAGAAAACCAAAATTTATTTGTCGAAGAAAATAAAAAATTTATTTTAGTTTACTTTAGAAAACTGAATATATTTTCTAATTTTTAGAAGAAAATAAAAAAATTATTAATACCCAATAATTCAGTTTTACGATATTGGGCCTTTTTAAATCTCTCTATAATTACACTTATTCATATAATTGCCTTTCTTCGGTTCAGAAAGCTCTGCTTGGATGACTTCGGTCTTCGGGACGTCGGCAGGTCAATTCGTCATACGAAATCAATTTAAATTTTTAAAGAAAATATTTACAAAACTATTTAAAACGTATTGCTTGTCCTGCAAGAAATATACTATAAATTGATAATTAAAAAAAAAACTAATAAATAAACATCTGCCATGGAATCTTGTACGATACTGTTCAAAATCATTCCTACTTCCAAGCCTATAAAATGCAGCATGCTTAGCGCGCTAACCCTTACCACAGAAAGAGAGAAAGGACAGAGAGAGATCTCAAAAATGGGAGTGCAGGAAACGTGGGCGGGATGGGGCTCTGCTCTGGCGAGCGCAATGTTCCTCTGGGCAATGTTCGGCCAATACTTCTCTGGCATTCTCGGTGACCGCTTGGGCGTCTATGCCATGAAGCTCGTCTACCTCTTCTATCCCTACATCGAGATCACCTTCGAAGAGTACACTGGCGAGCTCCTCAGGCGTAGCCACGCCTACGCCGCCGTCGAATCTTACCTCTCCGCTTCCTCTCGCTCCAAGCACGCTCGACGTCTGAAGGCGGATTACGACCGCTCCGGCTCCGGCTCCGGCTCCGGCCCCGGCTCCGCCATCATCCTTTCCATGGACGACCACGAGGAGGTCATCGACTCTTTCTCCGGCGCCAAACTGTATTGGTCGTCTCAGATCGCTCCTTTGGAATCCCATTCTATTTCCTTCTACCCCTCTCCCCCCGACCGCCGCTTCTACCGCCTTTCTTTCCACCGCCGCCACCGCGACCTCGTCGCCAATTCTTATATCCCCCACGTGCTTGACGAAGGCAAAGCCATCGGCCTCAAAAACCGCGTGCGACGGCTTTATACGAACAATACCAGTTATGATAGCTATGATTTTCGAAAGCTGGGGTGGAGTCATGTCCATTTTGAGCACCCTGCGACTTTCGAAACCATCGCCATGGATCCGGAGAAGAAGCGCGATATCGTCGATGATCTGATTGCATTCAGCCGTGGGAAAGAGTTTTATTCTCGTGTCGGCAAGCCATGGAAAAGGGGGTATCTCCTTTACGGCCCGCCTGGGACCGGCAAGTCGACGATGATCGCCGCCATGGCTAATCTGCTCGATTACGATGTCTACGATCTTGAACTCACCGCAGTGAAGAACAACTCTGCTTTACGAAAGCTGTTGCTCGAGATCAGCGGGAAGGCGATTATTGTCCTTGAGGACATTGATTGCTCCCTCGATCTTTCCGGCAAGAGGAAGCAGGAGAGAGAGAAATCGGAAGAGGAGGTGAAGAAGATAGGAAGCGAGGAGAACAAAGAGAGTAAGGTCACACTCTCAGGGCTTCTCAATTTCATCGACGGCTTATGGTCGGCGTGCGGTGGAGAGAGACTGGTGGTTTTCACAACCAATTTTGTAGAGAAGCTGGATCCGGCGCTGATAAGGAGGGGGAGAATGGATCGGCACATTGAGCTTTCTTACTGTGATTTCGAAGGGTTTAAGGTTCTGGCAAGGAACTATTTAGGGATCAAGGAGCATACTCTGTTCGAGAAGATACAGAGGCTGTTGGAGGAAAGGAATATAACGCCGGCGGATGTGGCTGAGAATCTGATGCCAAAGAAGGTAAAGGAAGTCGCCGTAAGTGTGGAGGTCTGTCTCACGAACTTGATTCAAGCTTTAATGGAGTCCAAGTTGAAATCAGCGAAAGGGGAAGAGGAGATGTTGGCGGGCACGGTGGCTAAAGTGGTGGAGGAGAAGGAATCCGCCGCACCATCTACATTGAATGACGTGGCGCGTTAATCCACTTTTTCTTTTTTGAAAAATTTGGACTTGGCCCGTATATTAAAAAACTAAGTAAAAGCTATTACATGAAAAGAGAAAGAGCAGCAACAAAAAAAACTCCAAACAAGAGGGAGCATGCTCACAAAGCAACAAAAACAGCTCTATCAACGGCAAGCGTTAAATCCTCTTATTTTTCACATCTTTTTATCTCTGTATTTTAGGATAATATAGTAATAAAACACAACTCTCCTTGGCCTAATGGTTGAGAGCTTTGGCTTCCAACCAAGAGGTCTAGGATTCGAGTCTATGTGATGAGGACATCAATCAGAGGTTCAAACAGGTGTATAGTCGGAAGCATCATAGATCGACGACCATGATTCAGAGTTTATATTTTTAATTATTTATGCATTTTATTTGAGTCTTCCTATTGTACCCTTATTATGAGTTGAGTCATGTTCAGGACAATTTAGTTTTTGTTCCTTCTTTATATTAAGACCTATATAAGGGTCATTTCCATTGTAATGAGATGATGATTGATTATTAAGAAAAATTTTGTGTTTCTTCATCTTCTTCTTGTGAGAGCACTAGAGAGAAGGGAGAGAGCTCAAGGTGAGCAAGCACAAGGTCCACCTGTCGTTGGAAGAGTCATCGACTCGTGGTTTTCCATTTCATCTTCTTCTTGTTCCTTCGCCTCCTACCACCGTCCACCGCCTCATCTAGGCTCAAGCCCACCGTCGGCCACCTCCTTCCAACCCCTTGAATGAGGATTTAACGCCTCATAATCACTTCCCTAGAAAGCTTGAAGGATTTGAGAAACTATTTTCAAGCATTTGAAATTCAGAATTTGAAATTCAAATAGTTTCCTAAATTAGACGCCTATATTAGGAAAGTTTGAAATTTCATTCAATCTAATTTCAAATTAGATTGGATAATTTTATTCTCATCCTAAATTGGAATCTCCCACCAGGAAACCTTTTAAACTGTTCAAATCTTCTCTCCCCCTCTCACCATGACGCCGGCCCCTTTGAGGGAAACTCCCCATTAATTGCTCATTTAACACCCCCCATCTTATTTGAAATTAAAATTGATTTCAAATAAATTTTTCCTCCCAATTTACTTAATCCTGAAATTAATTTCAGGTTTGTGAATTAACTCTCTCCCCTTCCCTCTCTATGCCGCCGGCCATGCTAGGGCAAATTCCCACTTAATGCTACTTATGGCATTGATTACAAGGGATTTGAAATTCAAATCTCAATTTGTTTCCCTCCAAATTGACTCAAAGCTGAAATTATTTCAGATTTTTGATCAAATCCCATCCTTACTCCCAACCTAATCACCTCCTCTACCCTAGCCCCTTCCCCTTGAACCCGTTGACCCCTCTCTCCTTCCCTCTCTCGAGTCTCGCCGCCCCCTCTCCTTGCTCATTCCTTGTGAATTGTGAAGCCAAGAGAAGAAGAAGACAATGCCACTCCACCTACACTTCAATAACGTATGACCGATCCTAAAATTGATAGTGGATTGATATTCGACATCTACAGCGACATCCACATCACCCGCTCACCATTCTTCGACGTCAGGTTTGGCTTCGACGACACTGTTGAAGACTATTTGATCCGCATCCTTCCCACTCTCGTGGATGTCATAGACAAGCAATTCCAGGACTACGATTGGACCATCGACGGTCATCCATCCGTGCCCTCTCCGCCACGGTCAACCTTTCCTTGGATCAAGACCATTGGTGTTGCGACCATCCTCGTGGCATCGTTGGGTGTGCTGAAGATCTTCTCCCGTTAAGCCTAGTGTAGTTGAGTGATCAATCCCCAAGATGAAAACTCTCATTATTAAATCGTGGATTGCTTATTAAGAGCTTTTAGTATTTCTATTATCTTTGTTCATCTACGAGATTTGGTTAATCTACATGTACTCCTTCGCCTAAGCAAGTAGGAAGACTAAGATTTTTTAACGAATTTGATTGTTATTTCAATAAGTTATTGATTCGGATTACTTTGCCAATTGTTCTTAAACTTTTTAATAAGCTCCTATGCATGTGGTTTCACATCACTATGTGTATGCGTTGACAGCGTTGTGTTTATGAATTTGTCTTAAATGGCCTAAATGTCCCAAAAAAATAATATAGTAATAAAAAAACTAATTTGTGTGTTTAATGTAGCACAGTTTTTCCTTTATAACACCAAAAGGTTTTTTCATCAAAACCCAATAATTTAATTGTCATTAGATTAATTATAATTATTATACATAAAAATAAGTCCTGATTAAATTTTATGAAAGAATTTAGTAAATACTTAACATAAACCACCCTAAATAAATCGTTAGTTATGTGATTAATTTGTTCTATTAAAAAACCTAAACTTATACATTTTATTTATTTATTATTATTTTTTTAAGCCTAAGCTTCTACATTAATTTACTCTGAAAGTGAATAAGGTTTGGAAAAATCTAGTTACATAAAAACCCCACATTATTGGCAAAATATCAAAAACATTACGGAATTATGAAATAAACCCCCTTGATTTATGGCATGCAATATTTGAATAAAATTATTATTTTTTGCTTGTTGTTAAAAATGAAAAAATAATAATTATTTAAGAAATTACAAATAAAATAAAATTTATCCTACTTCATGCCTTGACAAGGTGTAGACAATGTAGCAAGGATTTTGTTGGAAAATCTTGCGTTGATTCAACTTCAATTATGAAATTTTGGCATGCAATAGTAAATTAAATTTCATTATAAGTTCTAATAATATTGTCTTATTTTTATGAAAATTTATAATGATATTTTCTGCATTTGAAGAAATATTGGTGTAAAATTAGTATTCATTATTATTATTATTTATGAAGTAGAATAATTTATTAAGTTGGTTTATATTTGTTAAAAAATTTTCAATAAAAATATTAAATTATAAAAAAGTATTTACACTAATATTCTTTAAATTTGCTATAGTTTAGTACTAAATTATCTCATTTTGTGGCCTGTAGTAAGAAATATTGAAGGGAGAAAAAAAATGAGTGGATCATTTGAAAACTACTTTGAAATTATTTTCTCATTAATTTTTTTTAATTTAAAATTTAAACATATATGAAAATATCTCAAGCACTTAGAAATTAATTTATTTTTTTAATTATAATAGAAGAAATCATTTATTTTTTCAAAAATAATAGATGGCTACGTGTCACTAAAAATTAATTTGGCCAGGCACATATTTCAAGGCCTATTTGAATTGAAAATTTTTAAAATTAAATGTAGGATGAGCTTGGTGTGCAGCACTTCTATAGACGGGAAGAAATTCCTCCCGATGGCTCACGTTGAAAGCCCCTAATATTCTCCAAAAAAATAAAATGTAAGATCATCTAAACTTCGCCTCAACAAACTTACAATCAAACAATTTTTTGACAAGACGAACCCAATGACAATAAAATCATTCCAGTCTGAGTCCAAATAGGCTCAAATCAAGGGACAAAAGCATATGCAATACTTAGGAATCAATAGTAACATTATATTTTGTCACGGCCTATAATCTAATTAGATGAATTATTTCTTTTATCTTTTAACAATTAGAGCTATCCAATTTCAATTCTTAGTAATAAGCAACAAAAATAAATTCTATAATTCAAAATATCAATACACATCAATATTTATTTACCCAAAAATAAATTATATACAATACTTATGAATCATATTGTTGTGTCCTAGAGTATTCGCGATAGTAGAGAAATATGTAGTTTAACGTCTTAGCATTATACGAAGATCCATCACACAATCAAAAAAGATAGAGGGTGTAGCATTCATAAGAGACACCAGAGTTTTTACGTGAAAACCCCTAAAAAGGGGGAAAACCACTGGGCCTGACCCAGTTTGAATGAATCCATTAGTATTTGCAGTCGTCAGTCGATTACAAATGAGCCCCTTCTTAGGGAGAAGGCCTTGGGTTGATGGTACAAATTCACATCACATAAAGCGCATGACATGGTGGGAATTATAATAATCGACATAGACATGTTTGTTTGGTTGGAAGGGTCATTGTAGGTTATGGAGGTCGGAAGGATCATAGTCGGCAACAAAGGTCGGAAAGACCGTTGTGTGGCGATGTAGGTCGAAACGACTATTGTAGGTGATGGAGGTTGGAAGGACTGTTGTCTGCATGAGACAGGGGTCTGAAAGATCGTAATTGGCATGAAACTGGGATTAGAAAGACCATTGTCTGTTGATGGTGGTCAGAAGGACCATAGTAGGCAACGGAGGTCGGAAGGACCGTAATCTGTAGGAGACCAGGGTCTGAAAGACCGTTGTAGTAGGGCGGTACTCTAGTAGAACTCTGGGCGTCAAGTAGTGGCCCAACAAAAGTTCGGGCCTCAGGTGGTGTTTTGGTGGAACACATGGCCTCAAGTGGCGGTTAGGCGTAAGTTCGAGCCTTAGGTGGTGGCCTAGTGAAGTACAAGGCCTTAAGCAGTGGTCTGGTGGAAGTCTGAGCGTCAGGTGGTTGCCTGGTAGAGCATAAGACCTTTAAGTAGTGGTTCGGTGGAAGTCCAGGCTTCAGGCGGTGGTTCGACAGAAGTTCGGGCCTCAAGTGGTGGTCCAATAGAAGTCCAGGAGTCAGGTGGTGGCCTGGTGGAGCATAGGGCCTCAAGTGATGGTCCAGTGGAGCAACGACGTCAGGCGGTGGTCTGGCGGAGGTGAGGGCCTCAAGTGGTGGTCCGGCAGAGATGAGGGCCTCAAGTGGTGGTCCGGCAGAGTAACGTCGTCAGATGGTGGTCCAATGTAGGTGAGGACCTCAAGTGGTGGTCCAATGGAGCAACAACGTCAGGCGATGGTCTAACGGAGCAACGGCGTCAGGCGGTGGTCCTGTGGAGGTTAGGGCCTCAAGTGGTGGTCCGGCGGTGGTCGAGGAGGAGCTTCTTCCTTCTTTTTCTTCTCTTCTTCCTCCCCCCCCCAAGAGAAATGAGAGATCTATTTATAGATTTCTGGAGTGACATGACCCGTAAATAGGTGAGAGATAAAGTGTAAATGGGAAGTGGTTGGATGGACGATCAATATTGAATCCCTTGATCATGTACCGTTCATCAGACATTTGTAGGCCTTAATGATGTCGGAATCCGGCAATCTTGTGCTTGTTGGATTCGTCTCGTCGAGCCGCTCGATTCAACTAAAAGAACGTCATGTTTGGAAACTTTTTGGTAACCCAAATTGTGCTTTGAACCTTCCAATAGTGCTTCAGGTCCTTGATTTGGATCCATTTGGAATCGGATTGAGTTGATTTTGGTGTCATTGGGTTCATATTTTTGAGACGTTCAGTTTGATTATAAATTTGCTGAAATCAGAGTTTGGATGGTCTCCGAATTAATTTTTGAAGTTTTCACCTTGATTTTGCATCGAGATTCGTGCCCGGTCAAGATAATTTATTGATGATATATCACGTATAATCACAACACATTATTACATTCAACAACAAGAACAACAAGAACAACAACATCAAGCCTTTATCCCACTATGTGGGGTCGGCTACATGAATCCTTTTTCTCCATTGTGTCCTATTAAAGGTCAAAT